TAATTAATGTGTTGAATGGTAATATAATACCAATATAATAATTAATATCCTTAAAATATATAGGTAAACCACTAAACCATTAAAAATATACCAATAATAATTTCTTTTTAAAAAGAAATACATTTGAAATCTAAATTATAATGATTTACATTACATKTAGTAAAATYAATTATAGTTAAGTACTTACTGAGAATTGAATTTATATTTTTCGGAAAATTGAATAATTCTGATGGAAAATGGTAAACTACATGAGCCAAGAACATTGATAATTTTAAAGCCACTAAATTTTGCATCAGCATATCCCAGCCTYTGAATAATTCTAGCAATACGTTTTGAAGCTATTTTTGAATCATGTTCAGATGCTGAACCTACACAAACTATTTTACCACTTGACCATATATTTGCTGTAGCACTTGGCTTACGTAACTTCATAATAAGTTTCTAAAATAACAATTAAAAAAAATAAATAAAAATATTATGTAAGCGTATTTAAATTAATTCAAGATATGTTTTTTATTATTATTATTATTATTATTATTTAGATATTAAATATTAAAATACAACACAATGTTCTATTTTATGACAAAATTGCCTACCCCTTTAATCTGAGCTTAAGATTGAGTAGGGAGTTACAATACTCAATAGATTTTCAATTAAAATAAATAAATTATATATTATATTATATTACCGCTTTTTCACGTCTATATTCCACATTATGCCCATGCAGTGCTAAATATCTGAGATTTAAATGCGTTTTCACATTGAAACTAGCAGTTACATTACTTATATTAATTAATATTTCATCATCAACATTCAAACAGTCTTGTATAGGTTTTCTATTTGTTGATTGAATTTCCTCTTGTCCATGGAGATCATTATTACAATAAATCGTATTTGTAKTTGATGAAGATTCATTAAAATGTATTCTATTTTTCAATTTAATTATAGGTGCCATATTGATCTACAAAAAAATAAATTCATACATTGATAATTTATTATATGTATGTCTCATCTTAAATTTTAAGTAGACATAAATGTATTAAAATTGTAAGAACAATTTCAAATATCTAAGGATTGTTCTGAAAGAAATATAGTATAATTAACAAAAAGATTATTCTTAGAAGGAATTGTTGGGGTTATAAGTTTTAGTCCTAAATATTGTTTATTCACCATACACCAAAATCAAATAAGCCCTCAAAAGAATTTCACATTTGAAAATTGGAACTTTAAACACATGATAATAATAATACTATATTCATACAAACAAAATTTTCCGTTAATATATATATATGATGTATAATGCATTTTAATGTATATTTAAAAAGTTGGATTAGTGAGTAACGCTCTAGTAGTTATCGACTACAACTTCTTGTATTCAATTTTCAAAGTTTAGAGTAAATCGACAATTGTCTATGAATTTCTAACTCAAAATAATTTGCCATTTTTCGTGATTTTAATCAATTTTGTCAACATTTTAACTTTAAGTATTCTTATAAAATGACTGTGATTTTTTTTTTTAATTTCCGCTAACAACTTATGTATAACGTTGTATTACATTTTCAAGTTTTTTTTTACTATTTAGAATGTTGAACTCCTAATGAACCAATTTCAAACACTTTCCCACCAGAAAATATACTGATGAATATCGAAGCATTATTTTGACTACTTATCGTGATTCAAACACAAAAAAATAATAATAAAAATAAATCATCGTAAAATCAACCAACACGTAAGTTCATTACTTCGCTTTTTTTTTTACAAAATTTTTGTGTATTTTATACCGAAGATGAACAACTCAAAGTTACTTCAAAGTTATTAAAGGGCCAATTTTTAGAACATTAAAATCTAGTAGGCCAGTGTCTGAGGATAAAAAGTGAAAAAAAACGTTTACAGATATTTTCAAACGCTACATAACACGTAAATAATTAAACTACAAGAATGTGACATAATTATTTATAATTAATTAATCATTTATACTTAAAATATCGGATACCACTAAATAGATAAAATCAAATAAGTACATATATATGTATATAATATATATGACATMATTTATAAATATAGTCATACAGATAAGCTTTTCCTCAATTGTATGAAGTGATGGTAACTTTTTTTTTTGTATCAAATTTTAAAATATATAGCAAGGGCCATATAAAAATGATCTACGGCCCGCCAGTTGCCCATCCCTGTTCTTGACTATAGTTTTTTTTACAAGTTTTGAGAACACAAATGAATATTTTAATAAATATGTATGATTTTACTAAGGATATTCATCTGAAATCGAAATGTGTTTAATCATACGATACATTTTGTTTTGCGTTAAAATTTTTTCTTTATATAGTATCTTTATAACACGGTTTACCTATTATGTACCATTGGTTTTTGTGATGATTGTAGATTTAGACATGAACTTTAATTAGAGTGTAATTTAAATAAAATCTATGCAAGGCCTAGTTCTACCATATTTAGAATTGATTGAAATGAATAATGATATAAGTAAAAACGGCACAACTAGAAAAGTTTAAATAAAGTATTAATTCTCAATAAATGTAATTCTATTTTTTAAATCCTAGTCTTATAATATCAGAAGTACCTTTTTCAAATCGGCGTTTTCACTAGTATAATATCAAAAATCAGCGTATCATTGTAAAATTATAAAGTCGTAATTTATAAATTATATCTAATACCGAGAAATATGTAATGTATATACAAAATGTATAAAAAAATGTATAAAAAAATCTATTTGAACACCAATCTACACAGTAACGTATATGCGATAAAAAATTATATACATACATACGCAATAGGTATTTGCAGGAAAACACGACAGTGAATCGATGTAGGTAATTACGTACCTATATTAATATGTTCTATTATCGATGTAGTGAAACGTGTACGGCGATGATTTCGATAAAGTTACCGATCGAGACGAGAAAACAACGACGTACGATATAGACCGCAACTTACAATAACGTTGTGTAGTGTAGGTACTTAATATTTATACTAGACGCAGTATGCAAAAATCATAATATATTATTCGGAGTCAAAAAAGACCGAGTCCGACGAAATAAGGACGCAGGAAAGAATACGAGAAAAAAATTTAAAAAACTAAACGTCGGGACAAATCGCTGTGATAATGATACAATACCGGACGGTGATGTGCATAAGGTATAWCTACAACTCACAGTAGTGCACTGCTCGCTGGCAACGGAATAACACAACATTATAATAATATAATATTATTGTGATACATTATTATTATTATTATTATACTGTTTACGAAAAGTATTATGGCGACGAGCGTGCCATAGAGGATGCGACCAACCTCTAGTGTCGGTCTATCAAGACTGGACGGGGCCGCGTTGAGCGTCATCGGAAATACGTATAGATATCATCATTATGATATGGTCCATGTACGTGTGTGTACGTATGTGTGATGTTTGCTATAATAAATTAATATAAATTATATTAAGGCAAACGTTCACCTCCGCATTGTACATCGTTGTACTATCGTTATTATTATTATTGTAATTATATACACGCGTATCGTCGACATGAGAACCGCGTCATGATGAAATAATATTATGAATTCGAGTCTCGAGTGCATTTCATAATATTAAAAATATATAAAACATCTGTTCATGTCGCGCATCCGACGCGATATTTAAAAAGGGTATAAAATATTATATTTTCGTCGTTGTCGTCGGTACTTAAGTGAAGGATACACTCGGAGGAGACGATGGTCGATGTTGACGCTGTGGCGGTTTCAAAGAGTGTGACGACACTTGAAGACACCGGACGACGAGCATATAATGACGCATTGACACTGTTATACTGTTCCTCGACAAATTATAACCAGAGGTCTATAGATTACACTASTAATAATACGTAACAATATTAATTYAAAAGCAAGATGGGCAAGTTATAGTGATAATAATTTAATTCAAGTTAAGTCATTGAGTTGGAAATTAATTGTTAACAAATAATACATTTAACACGCCAAATTATTGAAAGTCAAAATGGAACAAAATATTAACTTGACTCTGTTGAAAAAACTTTATCTACTTTTTATCTAGTACCTACGTGCAGGTTAGGTGAATTCTATGTCCATTTCATAGGCGTATCCAGTCTTCATTTGCAGCTTAAAAATTGCAAAAATGACGTATGTATTATTTTTAATTGAACTCTACACWATACAGTAAAAGAGAGCCATAAAGGATGAAAAATGTGTTAACACTATAGTGTTACCTACATGATACCATGATACGTAACCTAACCTATACTGTGTACAGGGACGTCATTTGGGAGACACCAAAGTGTG